CTCTCTCACTTAACCCTTTCCATATGGGTCATGTCATCACGTTTGTTAACTCGCATTTAAAATTTTATTGAACTACTACTTCACGAATTTATGTCAATAAGTTTGGTATCAAACTGTAGATCATAATTCATATTTTAGTATTTCAATTTCTTAATCTAAGAGTAAATATTAAAAAAACACAGTTAAACATCAATTTTTATGTGTCACGTGGTACGTTGAATACAGCACTGATTAAATTAGATGTTTGTGATGTCAAAATACTAAGTCTATAGTTTCATACAAATTAGGAACCCAAATTACCAATATCGACAAGCTAGAATATAAAATAAGAGCCTCTTATCTTTTCAATTTACTAAGATATTGCTCATGTAATAAATCAAACACAATGCCACCCCACCCCCTCTTTCCATTTTTGGAAATGCTCCCTTATATATATGACAAGGAATTAGTAATTATTTGTTCAAGATCATTAAGTGTAATCCAGTACATGCATAAATCCCTGAAAAATGTTTTTTATATATTTATATTCTTATAGTTATTACCACTATCCAGCATTTTATGTCATAAAAGTAAAAATGACATATTTTAGAGAATGAGTGTCATTAAGAGACTCCACTGATCACCACATCACAAAGTAAAAAAACATGGGATGAAAATAAGGCAATGTATTATATTACATTGTTTTCTGTACAGACTTGTGTATTTTGCTTCCACTTCAAACTTTATTCCCTCAGGAAACATATCAACGAGCTTAGCCAAATTTGTAATGTCTCTTGTCATATAGCTAAAAACCCAGAAAATTTGTGATAGTTAAAGAACGTTGTCTTGAAAATCTTATCTGACATAAACAGCAGCAAAACAAATAATGATGTAATGTTGTAAATCTTCTAACGTTGAGATTTAAATGTGTAAATCCCTCCAAAATGCTACAAATTATGAAAGAGGGTTGAATATCATATAACCAAAGTTGATATAAAGTCATAGTAGAATGGAATATATCAGAACTCAAGGGTATTGCCATGGATATAAGAGTGAAAAGGCCATAATGGCAGACAGAACAGACCTATAACACAAATCACAAATCTGCAAGTCACTCCACCGTAGAAACATTACCATAAACATTAACCAATCTATCATTGACATGAAACAATTGTCAGAAAAAATTTCCAAACAGAATGTGACTGTAACCACTAAAAATATTGCCTTAAAGTATATAACACCATCATGCCACTAAATACAGAACACCAAAAAATAAAAAATAAAAAATATGTCAACATTTTGATTTTACTTGGAATTTCTTAGGTAGTGTGATGCCACATAAAACTGACAGCTTCATGGAAGGGTATGTATCACATCTTTCCAATTCAAAATATTCCTACACTCAACTCATAATGATGTGTTCAGAAACAGGATTTATAATTTTCAAGAAGAGGATATTCCTTGTGCTTAATGGCATTGGGAAATAGAAATATGGATTAACATGGGGCACCAACACCATCCAGAAAGAGATATGTAGCAAGTTCTACTCCAGCTGTGGTAGGAATAGTGCTTGGTTATGCAGGGTTATTGTCAACATGCATAGTCATCAGAAAGAGCATGACTAGACTGTAGTAATAAAGTGAGGTTCCAAACTCTTTTAAATATAAAGTTCTCAACTCTCTATGAAATAATAATTATGTCATGTATAAATGATAGATACTACTATTTATATACGAGCATCAATGAAAAAAATTGTAATTTTCAAGTTCCATTTAAGTCAGTATTAAATAAGGTAGAGTGACATTACATGCTAATTTACTACAGTTTATTTAGAAAGTTAAAATATTTTCTTGCTACTTTCTTATTATTTTAATATTATAAAGATTAATTTTTTACCTAATATAAACATTTTCTAGGTCAAAGTTCAGAAATTACGTTACCATTTAAATCATACTCCTAAAATTCCTTACCGTAGTAACTCCTTTGTTCCTGTTTGTGAACCTTCTAGTGTTCCTATTCGTGTAGCTAACACCTGAAGAGTTTGTTTGTGTAACTGTCTGTTTTCTCCTTTAAGAAATCCATTCCTGATAGAGAAAAGATAATTCGTCTACATTAATTTTGGAAAAATTTCTTAACAGTGGAACAACATGCTTCATATATTATAAAACAACAATACAGCTGACTCAGACATTTTTAATTATATTCAAATATATGTAAAATTTAAATAAATTCAACTCAATTCACTCATTATGTGTTTCATCATTTGAGTGATGCTGATTCAGAAAGAGTTTAATTACTTCAGGATAGTTGACTCAGACTAAGCTTATCACTTTCATGCTACTCATTCAGACAGAGCCAGAAGCACTGAAGAGATAAAACCAGTCATTACTGTAGCTAGATATTGGATTTAACTCTGCTTATATGGATTCAGTCATTCTTATTAACCTTGTGACCACCATAAATTTTCTAGGTCTATCTTCACAAAATTTGGAAAGCTTTTAATAAACATTACATGTTGTTGTACACACATATGATTTTTTAATTAAGTATATTTACTAAAGATTTGTCTGTAAGTTTATGATGTCTTTACTGAGTCAGTCCAAGTGAAAGATGATTTTCATCTTAAAAATACAAAACAATTTATTTCATCTTACAGTTTTCAAATTTTATTTGCATAACCTCCTAAATGAATATCAGATTTTTTTTTCACTAAAAATTTCCATATGATCACGGTCAATTTGACCAACCTTGCAACCACCACATTTAAAATAATAATAAAAAAGTTGGTACATATTAAAGCAGCCCAAGATATTACTTTTTGTAGTTTCGCATGGAGCAAAGATACTTCTGGATTCTTGTGTTTGCTTTTCTGACAGGTCAGTTAAAGGGAAATTGCAAATGCAATTACGGACAAGTTCCTTTCTGTCTTCAAAGAGAAAAGATTTTTAGCTATCCTGAAGGAGTCAAGACTTATTTTTGCAGTTTCGTCCATGTTTAAATTTTGAGCCATTACATCTGCTGATTGTACGAGTCATCTTTAAATACAGATTATTTTAGTTTTGAACTTAACATATCACAATACAACCGTCCTTTCCACTTTTACAATTAGCCATTCTTCTCTTTGTCTGGCAAATAAAGTATTTTCTCTTTCATTCCACTTGTGGCTAATCACTATATCTGTCCTTGTGTATACTAGATCTTTGAATCTCTAGCTGTTGTGAGATAAAGCAACTAAGTTTATTCTTAACTTCCACAATTATGCAGTTGAGGCCAGTTTTTAATACTGAATGGCAATGAAATGGGGTAATAAAGAAATGTTGAAATTAATTTTTAAAAATCAGCATTTTTGCAGGACAGTCTAAAATGCTTAACATGGCTTAATGTGTCTACATTCGAAATAGACAATTAAAAACTTTACACATTGCAAGAGAGCTACACAAGTCCTCAATAGTTTTACTATACACTTTTCATGCTTAAGCCACTTTAGACATTTTTTACATTAAGTAGATTATATGTATAACTTAATGTCATGTTTATGTTGTTTTCTTTACTAAAAAATTCCTTCTTTTTTATATATTACTGCATGCAAAGTTTTTAATCTTTTTTTTTTACATAAGTGCTTTAGAGACTGTCCATATTTTCACACTCACCAAGATAAAATTCTGTTCAATGAATGCAGAAGAAGTTCCATACATGAAGCTAAGAGGACAGCATCTCCCGAAAACATAGTATGACCATCTAAAACACCATCATTCTCTGCTATTATAGCCTAAAAATAAATTAAAACACAATTTTAAAAACTGTAGAGAAAATACATTTAAATGAGTGTATTATTATTTATCCTCAGTATATGTAACAGTCACCATTAATCTAATTTCAGTTAATGAATATTTGCTTCAGAACATTAAATTTATTTCCACAGCAGGAGTAAGCACATGTTAAGAGGAAGAATTTCTAATCCTGATATGCCCTCACACGTTGCAATGTAAAGTGAATTCTGACATCTTTCGTATTGTTTTCAATTCTGCATGTATGATACGTACAATTGTATCAGGTTAGGTTAGTTTGTACTCTTTATGATTACATCAAACACAAAATTAAAAGATTGCTTAGCATTTTACTCTTATTTTATCTAAATTTCAAACTGTCCATAGTACTTGATTGGCTACCATTTAATGTTTTTTTATGTAATAATGATAACTTCTTTCTCAAACAGTTTATGACTAAACCATAAAGAAAATGAGACAATCTTAATCAATCACCTTCAATTAGAACAACTATATCTTAGTTACTAGATGTCCTATAGGTATAATGTATCATGACATATAAGGAAATCTGTAATGGGTTTATCTTTTAACATATCATAACATATAAAAAATAATGTGATTTGTGTAATAGAGTAGTAGTTTGTAAGTAAATATGAATTTTAACTATTTTTTAAGATATGACATTCAAACTTCAAGATAACCACCACTTGAGAAATTTGAAGTTTAGCAAGTAAACTAATTGTGATGAGCTATTTATGCCTAGTTCAGTAGGTTAACCAATCAATATAAGCTTCTCAGAAATCAAGAGAACGAATTAGAAGAAACAAAAAGGCTCAAGTTTACTCCAATAAGCATGGACTATTGTAGTGAAATAGAGCAAGTTAGCCAATGGATATGAAATACTTAAAGATGTTTAGTTATGATATATCTGACAGCTGTTCTTACTGGTATAAGCACACCATAGAAAAAATACAAACATCAGATTTTATATGGGTATTTTAAATGTCATGAAGAAACCATAAAAAAGTTTATAAAAACAATATTTTTGATTTTTCTTTATTGTGCAATTTATTTACTTATAACTCAATTCACCACCTACTAATTACTGTATACTATTGTGTAACTATTTACTCTTAATGATTAACTGACACTTTTAGCTATATGGTTGATGCAGGTCTACTGTTTTCAAAGCCAGTGTCTTAACAATAGTCTTTACCATATCTCTGCTACAAAACCTAGGTTGACTCAGGTGTATTGTTTTCAAAATGAATGTCTTAACAACAGTCTTTACCATATCTCTACTAGAAAACCTAGGTTGACTAAGGTGTACTGTTTTCAAAATGAATGTCTTAACAATAGTTTTTACCATATCTCTGCTACAAAACTCAGGTTGACTAAGGTGTACTGTTTTCAAAATGAATGTCTTAACAATAGTCTTTACCATATCTCTACTACAAAACCTAGGTTGACTAAGGTGTATTGTTTTCAAAATGAATGTCTTAACAACAGTCTTTATCATATCTCTGCTACAAAACTCAGGTTGACTAAGGTGTACTGTTTTCAAAATGAATGTCTTAACAATAGTCTTTACCATATCTCTGCTAGAAAACCTAGGTTGACTCAGGTGTATTGTTTTCAAAATGAATGTCTTAACAATAGTCTTTACCATATCTCTACTAGAAACCGAAAATTTGTTCTAGAATAGACCAAGATAAAAAGATGGAGCTGAATCTATCAATACATAAATCAAAATGTGTATGTCACCCTCATACACCCAAGAAATAGACACACTACAGTGACAAGTTGGATATTTTCCAATTGTAACTCAAAGAGCAGTACTATACTATTGTCAAACATTAATCTTGGTTAATATAAACTAACATATGCATCAGACCTTTTAAAACAAAAAATGAATGCTACTAAACTTTAGCAATATACATAGAAAATATGTTTAAAATAGTAGAGAAAGTGTAAGTATCTTCAACTCAGTCATAACTGGGGACTTAGTGTAAACAATGTTCTTACTGATTATTTAGGTTGTGCAATAAAACATTGTTGATATATTGAAAACATAATCTTTCTTCTTTATTTAAATTCCAATCTTTTTGTAAATAATGCTAAATATTTGAACGAAAAGTAAGTACACATACAGGTTGCCTACATTCTTTTCAAAATTGTTTTACATACTATCCAGACAAAATTTCTAATTATTCTCATATGAATATAATATACTGATTTCAAATTTTCTTCCTAACACTACAGGCTTAGTTTGTTTGTTTAGCACAAAACTACATAATGGGCTATATGTTCTGTGCCCACCATGGGTAATAAAACTTGATTTTTAGAGTCCTATGTTATATTTTTATTTATAAATCAATATTTTGCGTAATCTACATCAAATGTAATGAATTAGATAATTATCATCAGACAAAACTGATGCAGAATGACTTACTAAGATTATATTAAAACATACCAATAACTAACATAGCTAAGTAATATGAAGTACGACAATTTTCTTTGACTTTTCCCCCTCGTTTCAAAGTTTTTTACTTTCCTAGCTTTTTCGGGTTAGCGGCCACCCTGACAAGATGGTGTCAAAGGTATTTGACTTGCTATACAAAACTTAAACTTAACATAAACATAAGAAAATACAGATATTCATGTTTTAAAAGAGGATTTTTCTTCTTACTTGGAAAAATGCACTAGTATCTTCCAATATTTGACATAAGACTGGGAGAAGCTCCACCATTCGAGTTGTAATCTCAAGTGGTGTATACAGATCCAGATTTGAGAAACCTAATTTTTTGTCAATACGACTCTGTGGAAAATTAAGAAATATAATTGAAAAATATTACTTACTCCATTCATTTTAAATATGTTACTGAAGAGAAACATTTCAATTTTTATATAGATTAATCAACAATCACTGGTGTTTTTCTACACAAAAACAAACAAACCAACAACTTATAAACATATTCTAACCAGCAGGACACGTTACAGTATTTATTATGTGGTTTTAAACTATTCCACACTATGAAAGACACAAGTATATTGAAAATAGCCAGCAAGATTACTAACAATACTTGTGAAATGGTTCTATACTATTCCGTACCATGAGACACACATGTACAATGAAAATAGTCAGTAACATTAAGAACAATGCTTGTGCAATGGTTATAAGCTAGTCTATAAATTGAATGATATAAGTACATTGAAAACAGCCAACAAGATTAACAATGGTACTTGTGCAGTGGTTATAAGCTATTCCTTACATTGAAAATAGTCAGTAACATTAAGAACAATGCTTGTGCAATAGTTATAAACTATTCCATACCAATCTGTTACTTTTTAACACACTGAGTAATAAATAAAATATTTTGATACAGCATACAATGCATTTTTTATAGTACAGTTAAAAATATAAGAACATTTTTGGCAGTAAAACTATTACTTAAGAGTCCAATAGTTTGCAGAAAATAACTAATCAACAAACCTTAAATGCAGTTTTCCTGTTCCACTGTGAGGTCAAAAGAGAATGATCAAGTTTCCTTGTTAGGTCATCAAGCAAAAACTGAATTTCTGATGGCCCAAGTTTCAAATTACTATCATTCTGAGAAATAAAATTAAAATATAACACCTGCCTTTATAGAATCAAACCAGTGAAAGGATCAACAAATGATCTTTTTCTGTTCTTGAATATCTCTACAAATGTTATAATGTTTTATGCAGTTCTCTAAATACAATTCACTAAATCGTACTAGTCCACCATTATATCAATATCTTGATTTTCTGACTATATATTTTAGCTGTCTTTTCCTTTCATCCTTCTCTGAAGAATAAAGTGAAATAACGTAACATTTCAGAAGTTTGTATGATCATTTGAAACTGAATACTTTAACACAGAGTTAACTATCAAAGGAATACTTTGTAATTAAACAACTTGTATTTTCATATTGAAATATTTGGCATTATAAAATTTATTATATTAAAACGACAGTACACACCAGACACACATATATCTTAAGATATTTAACAGAGTACATCCACATTAAACTACAGCTGTACCTGGGAGACTTATACAAAGAGGCCTATCAGCTTGATCTACCAAGAATCTACTGAAACATAATATCTGATATCAGTAAAGTTGAATATATTTAAAGATATTTAGAAAAATAAAAGGCTCTCGACAAAAGACACAACTCACTTTCATAATCTGCAATATGTATTTATTCTCATTGTTGTATTACTAAAAAATAAGAAACTTAGTACTTTTTACAGTTCTAAGATACTTAAGAATAAGTACAAAAAGTATTGTAATCCCAAAGACACTTCCAATTTGACAATATTGTCAGGTTTTATAGGGCCACGATTTATTTACAGTTTCTGGTCAGCCACCCCTGGTTTCTACTTTAATTGGCTATTCTTGAGTTTGCCAGTTATACTCCATCCATATACTGTCCTGCCAGCTTGATCATCTCATACATATGTTTTGGTGCTCTCTCTTTTAGGAACAGTGACATGTTACTTGAGCATGTGATCATAAACTGTTCATGTATTAGTAGATCTGCCAGTCCTTCAAAACTATTTTCACACTTGGCCATGTCAGTCCATCTTGTGAAGTACGTCCATAGATGTGCCACAAACTGAATAACAGTTTCTACAGTGTCAGGTTTGACTTTTTTGAACTTCTGATGAAAACCTTCTTCAGTAAGTTCATAGCACTTCAGCAAGGCCACTTTTAACTTGTCATAGTCCATGGCATCTTCTGATGTCATAACTGCATACACTTGTATGCATACACCTGGAGAAGTGGGCTGAGACAGACTGCCCAGTCACCTTTGTCCCAGTTCTGACTTTGGTTGAATCATTCATATCTCTCCAAGAAAGCATCCATGTCATCTTTCTGTTCATAAAATTTGGGCAGCTTGGGTCAAGTGGCCTTGACCCATTGTCATTCTTGGGTCCTCCAACTTTTTGTTAGGTGAGCTTGGTAATTCTAAGTTTGTGCTCTTATTCTCTCTATTTCCAGTCTCTCCTCTCTCTCTCTTTCCTTTTCTTCTTTCATTCTTTTTTTTCCTTTCTTCCCCTCTTCTCTGCCTATGCTCTTCTCTCTCTCTCTAGGTCTTGTTTAACAAATTCTCCTAGATCACTATCTCTGAACCCAAGATGCTTACCTATCTCTATCCATTTATCAAAATCAGTCGACATGGTTATATAGTGTGATTGTAATCTCTACCCTATTTTTGCCACCACTACAATTGTGCATATATAGGCTTACTTCCACTCTCATTCACATCTTCTTCTACCACCATTTATCACTGTATAATCCTGGCTGACTCGCCAATTGGCAAGTTTTATAAAACCGTGAATATTTAGAGTAGGTGTCTGTGGCTTTTTGGCAATAAATTTCAACAATAAACAGACAGAACACAATCCACTTGTTATATTCAAAACAAGTCAAACTTATGTACAAAAATATTTATTATACTATTAGATACCATAGTTGAATCTAGAACTTTAAATAATTCTCTTTGTCATCAAAAGTCCACACAGGCTGGTTCAGTTACTTTAGAGACCAATTGAGAAGACGAATTATTATTTTCTACTCTGTTTTTTACTACACAATCTGCGATTATAACATTCTAAAAGTCGCCCCTATACACTTTTTATGGCTAAACTTACAAACACAGTCTAGATCTATATTTCTCACTAATTTTATCAAATTATCACCAACTTAACTTGTTTATATCTGCACGTATTTATAACACAACAGAAAAATTTAGAAATATGTAGCCCTCTAGTACAACAATTAAACTACACACACAACGAACAACTCATACAATGTTATGTAATGGAATTCATCATAACTATCACTTTTAAAATAATTAACTTTTAACACTCTTATTATGAAAATTAAATATTAAATAACCTAAATAATAACTCTAACTAAATAGTCTTGCATATCCAACAAATATTAAAACACGGTCCTCCAAAACATACCTCATCATTATTTGATATTTCAGGGCTAATTTTCAAACTAAGTCCATTTTGGAGAAGAACAAAAACATCCAAATCCAGTTCCCTAATATAAATACATACATATACATAAGAAATCTAAAATAGATACAAAATTAAAAATACACATTAATAACCTAGATTACATTGTGACACATTTTCCCGTATAGAATGGAGACATCTTCTTGATGGTGAAGAATTATGATAATATAATTCAGGTATTCACACTAGTCTGGGAAAATGTTGAATGGATATAAAATGATAGAAGAGACAGTAGAGTTTGGTTTGGTTGTTGTGATGTACAAGGTTACACAATGAGTCATCTGTGCTCTGCTCACCACAAGTATCAAAACCTGATTTTTAGTGCCATAAGTCTGCAGCCTTATCCTTAAGCACTGGGGGGCAGGCAGTAGAAACTTCAATATTAATAAGAACCAGTTATTAGTTTGATAGAAATGAATACTTTTATTTAATTTCTTCTGCAGAGGAATAGTTTTTATAATTAGCTAATGGAAGTCAGCCTATCTTATTGTTAAATTAGGCAAATACTGTATGGAAAAATCAAATGTAAAAATATTTTTTAAGTTAAACGTTATGGAATAATAATGAACTTGGCAGTCATAGTAAATTGTTTTACCTTGTAATTTCTTAAATTATTACACATTTCACATGCACCATAATCTAATATCACAATGTTTACAGCAGTATTATACTGAGTAAGAAAACACAAGATAATAGGCTAGAAAGGAAAGGTTTTAAAAAATAGAAATATCTAAACATTCCACCAGTATAGTTACAATTTATCAACACGTGAAACAAAGCTCCAACTAACTGGTCTTTGTACAGATTAGTTGATTATTTCTAACTCAAATAATTTGAAAACAATGAGTTTTTAAACTGGAGGTGACAAAATCTGTACAATTTAAATGACTGCATTATATATTTTACTACTACCAGGCTCCTAAAATTAACAAAATCACAAATACACCAAATGAAAGTTGGATTATTTTGTTCTTTTATTTGATGTAGAACTATTTTTCTTTCTTATATGGACTGCAAATTTCTGAACGTTTATTATGTCAGAAGCCTTTCATGAACTCATGTCTTCGACTTATCTAATTATACTATGGTGTTGTATATTTTGTATGGTATGTATTGGTAATAAAGTTTTATTCTTTTCTCTGCTTGTTTGATTATTTTTGTTAAAGTCATTATTCTTTTTTACTTTACAAAGAGCTGTTAGATGTACTTTGAAACTGTAGAGTCAATACAACAAATTTGCTCTGACATGAAATTAAAGATTATTAGAGGCATTTTTAGAAACATAATTGTACGTAATTTCTAAAAAGAGACAAAGGTAACATTTATTAAACAGTATGATAAATACTATCAATTTATTAGTTTTAACAATATATACTATTTTATGACATCATTAATCCTGTGATTGTATTATGGTTAATAAGGATACATTAATTTTGCTTTCAAGTCAATGTTTGAGGGTGAATTAACAGCACAGCATATATATTCAAATATGTCACATACAGTTTTCATTTCACTGTTAAGTGAAAAATAGTCTAAATTTAATTTAGAAAACTTTCATGGTTATCATGATTCAGCTTTTTAAGGTCTGTTTTCAGATATAGTTTTGTTTATGATTTACTGATTTTTATGAATGTAAATGCAGATATAACCTATATAGCTATTAGGTTGTACAGAGTTAAAATGTCATAAATATTAAATTCTTGACTAAGCATGATATGTGTAAATATAACAAGGCAGGAAATATTCACTAGTCAACAAATCTGAAATTAAACATTTCTCATATAAAAGTAACATTTTTTGAGTATTAAGTGCTAAATGAATATAGCAATAATTATTTAAATTAAAATCTTTATTGATCAGTACATTAAACAGTATCAGCCATTACCTGAAAAATACTCTGTATGCTGATAAGTCCACCACTTTTTCACTGGTTTTGTCTCCAGTCTATAATAATAATAATTCAAGAAATAAATTTTCACTTACATTTACAAATGTACAGAGAAATGATCTAATATTAAGCATTACTTCACCATACATTCTAATTTTTGTTTTCATATGGACCTCCTGAGCTGCTTGGACTAGAAGTATAACTTTACTTATTATCTAAGCTTCAGAAATGAATTTTGATAACCCTTTATTCTTTTCCCTCTTCTCTAATTTATTTACCACCCCTCCAAAAATTATGGAATTTAATGTAAATTACTCATTATAAGTATTACTCTGGCAAAACATAATTTTTATAGTCTTCAATCTTATTTGTTTACGGAGACATAAACTAGAAAATCAGATCCACTTGCCAAGCCCATCTGTCACATCCTCTCTTTCACAAATTGCCAAATATGCTCGCAAATAGCTCATGCATTACATAATCTGATATGGCAATGTAAGCTACATGTTTGCTGAGTGATTTACAACTTGTGTGGTGGGATTATTTGTAAAACAGAGTTGATAGAGCAATAAAACAATAAAACTTAAGTAGAAACAGTTGTATACTGTTATGAACTTTAATCCTATCGGCACGGGTACCATTTACTGCACATGAAACAAGTTTTTAGTGTCTTACATTCAAAATTTTATTAAACTACTTTTTGCTTATGTTATACCAATTATAATAGCATACAATCTTAACTAATAATCCACATTTTAATAGTATACAAGCTTTAAGTTCTTAATTCTAAAAGTAAATATATAAAAAAATACCTGAATTTCCACTAGTGTAACACACACGACAAATTTTGTCTTAACGTGTCATCATCCCTATTTTATCCATCATCCCTGAAAAATGTAAAAAATTAACATAAAATGCTTTCTGTAAAATCATTATTGACTCAAACAGACCATAATTTTTATGGCCTTCAATTTTGTTTTGTTACTAG